TAATATTATCTTTACGTGCGAACATTATATTTTCATAAATGTATAGATAGGCCAGAGTTAACCTATTAATATCCAGAATTTTTAGTGACTCTTTAGGTTTTAAATAATTTGTCAAAAAAAATTTAAATCATATGTCAAAGCAAAATACCATACGGAATTATGCTATGGTAAAATAGCTAAAGTAAACTAGTCTTGCTGTTTCAACACTGATAAAAGTTCTTATCTTTTTTTACAACATATGCTGCAGAACTAAGTCTGCTAAATAAATTTGATATATGGGGGCCCCATTGAAGCTTTGTGTCCAGTGTGATTCGAAGAAAAATGGTGGTATCAACAAGACTCAGCTCCTCCCCATTTAAAATTACATTAATATTAACAGGTTTGATATTCGGAGTTACGAATTTCAACATAGTTTTAGTTCCATTTACATGCAAATTATTAACACTATACCAATTGACTAACTTAGCTATAGCATTATTTACTTCGTCGTAATTTAGTAACTGTCGTTTAAATTGTGGATTAAAAAGTAATCCACAGTAGGCGAACGATAAATGAACTGGTTATTACAAGTGAAAAATAGTATAAAAGCGCTAGAATTCAACTAAAAAGTTTAATTGAAGCAATAAACGATAACAAATATTCAATTTGTTGCGGTGCGCCTGGTTTTTGAATTTAGTGCATGGTATTTATATTTGCATTCATTTTTTGAAATGACAATGATTCTAAACTACAATATGTACTACAATTCTTGTACGTTTGTTAAAAAGTAAAAACCGACCTAACTGAAAAGTATAAAATAATTATCACAAAAGATCTTCAGAAGTCCGTACCTTAGCTTACGTTATCGTGGTTATCACCTACTAATATACTCGTATACAATAAACAGAAAGGGGCCGATAATTGAGCCCTGAGGCATGCCGATTTGTACTACCGACCCGAAAGAATTCATACTATTAATGACACCTTTTTGCATTCTGTTACTTAAATATGAAATAACTAGCAAACCCGGCGAACTCCGTTTCGCCACCAGATGGCTTCGTTTTATGTAACATTTCGTTTGGTGATTATAAGAAGAAGAATTTTTTTTTTGTTTTATATTTGAAAAGGAAAAATTTTATTTCATTTCACAACAGTAATGAATTCTTTTCGATTACAAAAATGAAGTGTTATTTAGTTGAACTTCTCTAATTAAATGAAAGTGAATCCAAAGTAAATACTGAATCGAAGCGTTATATGTGTCCGCAAATTATCCGTTTCATTGAAGTGCTCTTTGGTAAAACACATTTTTTGTTTTTTGGCCTGACGTTAACACAAACAAAGCGGATGGTTTCCCAACTCGTGAACACGCAACGTATAACTGCCCATGCGAAAAACAATGATTTTATAAATTTATCCCGCAAACACTAAGCGATTGGCCTTGCGACTTGTTAATTGTCATAGCGAACGCCAGGCGAACTGGAAATTGCAATCGTTTGAAGTCAAACGGAAGATCAGTCGGAATCATTGGTATTCGAGGAACATATACATTTTCACCTGCGTACTTTCCGTTAATAATGGTTGCCTCAATCAAATTCGGCATAAGTCTTTTTATCGAAAGTCGAGTACCGTTGCAAAGTTGCGGTGGATTCAAATTACGCAATATCATAATAACTGTACCAACTTTGAGTTGCAAGTTATGTGGTGGAAATCCTGGTAACTCCCGAGAGTTCAAAAACTTCGTTGGATAATTTACTACATCATCGGGATTTGTTATGGAATCAACGGATTTGTATGTCACCAAATCGCCAGCAATTTTTGATTGAATGGTGAAATTTAGTGCGTGTACATCATTATTCTTTGCGGCAAGAATTTCTCGTTGACTTAACCAAGCATAATTCTGATAATTCTCACTAATATTTGGGAAAACATTTTCAATAAGAGCTAATTGAGAGTCTACAAATCGGCAAAAGTCGTTGGTAAGGGTAATTAATCCAGATGTAGCATCAACTGGAACTTTTCTATTTCCAACAGATTGTTTGGAAAATTTTGAAGTTGAACCATGATCATTTTGAAGTTGAACTCTCATATTAGTGGTTAGCGATAATGTTTTTACGTTATTCCATAAAGGTGATGCCTTCCGGCAAGCATTCAATTCATCTGCAGGCGTTCCATGGGGAATTACTGGCAACGTCTGCCTGAAATCGCCTGCCAACAATATCATCAAGCCACCAAAGATGTTGTTATTTCGTCGAAGATCCTTCAGTGTAAAGTTAAGTGCTTGAAGTGATTTCTTATGTGCCATTGTGCACTCATCCCAAACAATGAACTTGCATTGCATCAACAATTTTCCCATTGCACTGGATCGGGAAATATTGCAAGTTGGAGTATCAATTGTGTTTAAATTGAGTGGCAACTTAAGCGCAGAATGTACAGTACGACCGCCATCTAGAAGAGTCGCCGCAATTCCAGATGATGCTAACGCCAAAGCTATGTCACATCTTGATCGAATAGTGGCCAAAATCAATGAAATTACAAATGTTTTCCCTGTTCCTCCAGGTGCGTCCAGGAAGAATAGACCACCAGTATTATTGTCCACCGCTTGCATTAATGTTTCGTATACTTGTTTTTGCTGTTCATTCAGCAACGGCACATTATTTCGAACGAATTCCTGCAATTTATCAACATTGTATTGCAGCTCTCGATTTAATTCTTGGTTGAATGCCTCGTGCATCGATCGATTTGGTGCAATCATTCCTACTTCAATCAGTAGCTTGTTTGCAATAGTCAAGCATTGATCCTCAATCAAAATCAATCCTTAATTGTAGATTTCATCGGTTATTTGGATGTCAGGATTATTCGTTTAATTGCGCAAGCGATGCAAAATATCTTCACGTATGTCGTCTTTGTATTTGTTTCATAACTGAATTGGTTGTGAAGGAAAACATGTGGTGATGATAATTGCGAACAGCGTTCGTATTTGGTACGCATTTGATGAAACAACTGAATCCGCAAGTGTTAAATCCCAATGAGAATCGTTCTCCAGCAAACCCAATAGTTGACATGCTTCTCGATATGTTTGGCATTGGTGGCCATTCACAGTTTTCAAATGCGCAAATGATTTTGGTCCACGTACATTTACCAACAGCAGTCGCAAATGAAAACATTCATCATTTCTAGGATGAACAGTATACATGCGACCTAGTGCATCAGTGGAAAACACCTGTGGCCAATCTGGAACTGGGGTTCCTTGTTTGCGACGTTGGAATTTCTTTGTTGATTGATTCCAAGTGTAATACTTGGGCATTTCAACGTACATCAGAGTCGCTGCGAATGGATCTGCTTCACACATTGCAAAAAAGCTAGTCAATGTTGTCGATGGTGGTCTCTCAGCTCGTTGTGCCGCATTAGCCTCAGTAAAGTAAACTCTTTGGCTATATTCCAAATGCACTGCTAAATTTACAACTGTGGGATATCTTTCATGAATTTGAAATGACAATAATCGCCACAGTGTTTCATTAGTACTCACGTATCTGCCCATTTGGAAGTTGCTGATTTCGTCATTCGCGTATTCCGACGCAATACCGAACACAGCCATGTCGTTGCCTTTTGTGACGTACTTGCACAAATATTTGATTGATTTGGCTGAATGACAACTCTCAACGTTTGCATGTGTTTCGAAAATTCGTGATAGCAGCGGGCAATATGGTACAATGAATTCATTTCCGATCTTAATCTCTTGATTTTGAACATTAACTTTGATAGTTCGACCATTATCTTCTTTTGAACACCGACGATAAACTGGATATCCATCGTTCCCTGTGACTGTTTTAGCAACTAACGGTCGCGGATATCGTTTTGTGCACTTTCCATCAGCCATGCAAGGCGATAATGAATTTAATGCATCGCACGGTCCATGCACCATCTGTGTCATTACAATGTCGTGTAGATGGGGATCAGTGACTGGATCAGGAATTTCAGCTGATATGATGTCATCCACTTCATTTGAATATAATTTATTCAGCAACCAAATTAGGATATAAGCATGCGGTAGTCCACGCTTCTGCCATTCCACCGAGTACATATAACAACGTGTGTCACCAAAAACTCGATACTTAGTAAGAACATCCATCATAACCTTGAGTTTTTGCTGAAATACTCTGGCGATTATATCATGGCGATCTTGCGGTTTTTGGCCCGGTTCCAACTCACGTTTAATTTCCGTCCACTTCGGATTGCATGTGAACGTAATAAATAAATCTGGAGTTCCATAATTTTGCACGTACGTCATAGCGTCTTGAGCATATTCATGCATGTGGCGTGGGCTTCCGATATAAGATGATGGTAGAATCGTCAGACGTCCAATATTCTGAACATCACCATCTGAATGAATAGCATCACGCAAGTGTATATAGTCCTCAGATTGTAGCTTTGCCTGATTGAATCGGATGAACGCTAAACGTTCGGTCTCGACTTTGACATACATGTCGACAGCGAATTGCTGGAATAGCCGACGGCACTTCAGAATGACATTCTCCTCATGTGTACGAATCATCATACGATACGCATAGTAATTCATTGCGCTTAGATTTTTATTCGTTGATACGCCTGAAAATGCAAAATTAAATGAATTGTTAATGGAAACCAATAATAGCAATAATTAGTGTATGAATATTGTACCTGTAATTGGATCGACCATCTTCAACGTGATGTTGTATCCGTCTTGCCCTTGCCAATAAATGATTGGATATTGTAACGCATCGTACAAATGATGTGTCTCGTTTACACGATGCATGATATTGCTTCTTCGCTGAACGACAATGTCTCGCGATTTAGTTGGATCGCCAACAATAATTGCAGCAACATCATTAACGGTGAGTGCATTGAATCTTCGCACATGTTCACCTGTTGGGGTACAATCCGCTCTTATGACAAATTTGTGCGTATCCGATGGCATTCGTTCCAATGCTGTTTTGAACATATTAAACACAGCATTATTAGCGTGAAAAAATGCTTGCAACTGTTCAATAATTCTTCTCTTTAACTGTTGTGTTCCCTGTATATTGCACCGCACATTCAGCTGATCCACCATCGACGAAATGAAATATATTTGCAGATGATGATGATGATTGATGCGGTTCATCTGGTGTTGGCACCATTGAACCATGCAAATAATATATTTGTCCTTGTACCTGTAATTCCAAACAATCATTTGTTGAAGAATACGGTGTAACTTCTGATCGTGTTATGGTGTACTGTGTGGTGTATATGTAGTTGTTGTGTTGAAGTTTATTGTGTTGGTGTGAGTGATTGGTTATGTGTGTTGTATCTTTTACCTTGCAAGTTGGCATGAAGCCGCCTTCTCGAATGATATTAGCTCCAAAGGAAGTCATGCGAAAGCAGTTATTGTATTCAAGGATATGTTGAAGAAAATGGATGGAATCGGGATCACTTCCATCGAACAATGGTTTCAGTGGCTGTGGTGGTGTAAGTAATGGATCCAGTTTAACTTTTCCACTTGCGCAGCACAATCCAGCCGTTTCTCTTTTGAACTTTAACGCATTGCAATATTGGCATATAGTCGTCATTGGTCCAATATCTAAATTTTCATCATCACTGTAGTTCGCAGTGGGATCATATTGGAATGCCAAGCGATGTTATGATGCCAATGATCTTCGTGTGCTCACGCGTTGTCTCAATCGGGCATTTTCTCTTATTATTTTTTTTAGTTTTTCTTCGCTTAAGTTCTGTGAATACACTTGTTGCTGGCTTGCATGTCTTGTGCGGTGGCCGATGTTCGCACGTCGTCCTCTAGGCATTTTGGACTATGGACAGAATGGTGAATTTAACCTCAAATGCATGATCCACATAATTTACACAGTTCAACTTACCACCTTTACTTTAAAGACAAATGCAGCAGGCAGGTCTTTAAAGTGGTAAGTTGAAATTGAATAAAAATTTGCACAATACACGTGATGGATTTGATGGTTTCCAATTGTAATGTTAGGAAACGAATAACTTATTTTTTTTAACTTTTTTTTATCACAATTTCACAGTGAACACAATACCGGTTTGTCACATGAAATTAACTAAGCAGAGAACAATGAGTAGCTGTCAAACAATGTATCACGCACCGGCGCCATCTACTTAAAATATTGGTTTGTATTACATGCTATGTATCAGAGATGGCGCTGTATGTGCAAAAAAGATTTTCCCGCTTTTCTGTTGAAATTTTTCCTGAATTTTCTTTGCTATAAACCTCACGGAGCCCGAGACCTTTCCAACGAATGCAAAACCGTGGAAATCGGTTCGTGCGTTCTGGAGTTATAGCGTCAGGAAGGAAAACCCGACTTATTTTTATATAGTAGATTAATTTAAAAGCATCACTTCTTACACCGTAGTGTTGAAGTCTCTTGATTATTGTTTCATGGTGAACACAATCGTAGGATTTGGATAGGTCACAGTATATAGCCAAAGCATTCCGTGAATTTCCCCGTGCATTGAAGATATATTAATTAAGCCCAACACCAGCATCAGTTGTCAAACGACCCTTTGTGAAACCGAATTGATTTTTATGAAGTAAATCTATATATATATATATATATATATATATATATATATATATATATATATATATATATATAAAACAAAGATGGGTTTGTTACAATACTTATAACTCGAGATCGGCTGGATCAATTTTCATGGTTTTTGTTTCGTTGGATTTGTCTCCGCCCTGAATATGAAATTAAAAACAATGAAAACTTGACGAATACATAATTATGAAAATGAATCATTTTCCATTTAATTATGTTCCTTTTTTTCGTACCTATCAAACATTTGTTTTCCTCCTGTCATCCTGTCAAATACTGTGATTGACATTTATGCATGCGTTCAGAAATGTATTTTGTGTAAACTATTTAAAAGGGGTGAATAAACTTTTGTATGTAATTTTTTAATCAATTAAAAAGGTTGAAAAGTGTATTAAGCAGATTTAAATAGAAGTTCCTCAAATATTTATGCCTGCGTTCAGAAATAATGACAAATGGTTAACATTTACGCGTGCGTTCATAACTTTATTTTGCGTAAATTAAAGTTTCTATTTCCGAAAACAATTTCTAAGATTTATTATTTAAGTTATCGAAAGCGTAAATGTCTTTTTATGTTGTCTATGATTTTCTAAGATATATAATTACAAAGGTTAAAAAGTGCAGTATCCAAAGTAGTAGTCTATGATCTAAACTATTGTCAATCAATGTCTATGTCACGAAAGTTCAGCTACTGTTATATTTGTTTGTTTTGTGTGGTTTCGTGCAAGTACATATTAAGTATTAGTAATAGTAACAATGCTACGTCCTAGAAGATCTAATCTTTCCCAGCGAAGCTGTACTGCAATTAGGCAACGTAACATCGCGAGTCAATTATCTGATTAAGAACGAGATATTGCACAAGAAGAGCGCCGCGTTAATGTGGAGCGAAGAAGGGCTTTAATTCGTGCCAATCAAACACAAGAGGAAAGAGAGGCAGCCCGTGAAACGGCTAGGTTAGAAACGAGAAATCGTCGAGCTTATCGTACAGATCAACAGAGGGATAATCTTCGACGTGCAAGAAGAAATGGTTCAAGCGTTGATTTGAATCGACCAGCGTTTCTATATGATTGCACCATCGACTACAGCTTGCATCGTTTAATTTGCATTGGTCCAATGGACGTTGTTTGCCAGCATTGTGGCGCATTGAAGTTTGCTGGTGAAACGCCTGGTTTGTGCTGCCTTAGTGGTAAAGTCAAATTGCCATTATTGGTTCCGCCACCACAGCCATTGTGTTCCTTGTTTAATGGCGAAACTCCAGAATCACGACATTTTCTAGCAAACACTCAAAAATACAATGTCTGTTTTCAAATGACTTTATTTGGGGAGGAAATTATCGAAGAACACGGATATAATCCGACATTTAAGGTAATTGCTGGAATGTAGTTTGTTAGATTTCTATGTTTGTCTCTAAAATAAAAATGGCATGTTATCGTTTGAAAAAAAATAATTGTAAATCTAACTATGCCTTCGACTTTACAGATTCAAGGCCAGATTTACCATCGCATTAGATTATTGCAACCTCATAAAGATGCACAGCATAAATTCTTGCAAATATACTTCATGGGCAAAATGGAAGAACAACTTGACCGGCGTCAAGGGATAAACACAACCACAAAAAGAGGAATTCTCCAAGATCTGCAGCAACTGCTACATGAACATCATGCATTGGTCAGGTTGTTCAAGACTGCGTTAGAGCGCATGCCAAGTGATTAAAAAGTTGTGATCAGAGCAGATAAACGACCAGCTGGAACACACGAACGCACATTTAATGCTCCAACAATTGATGAAGTGGCAATCCTGATTGTTGGTGGAAACTTAGAAACACGTGATATTGGACTTACACGACGCAATACTGGTCAACTACAAAAAATATATAAAACACACCGGTCATATGACGTATTACAATACCCGCTGATGTTTTGGCAAGGAAACGATGGATATCACTTCAATATCAAAATGATTAATCCATTGAATGGTAAGTGTCATAGTTTTCATTTTAACTTGATATACATTTTATTCTGTTTGCTTTTGGTAACCAAAAAAAGTTGTCACTCCTAATTTAGCAGAGAGTAGTTATAAGAGCCGTTAACTCTATTAAGGGAGTTGGTTTAGAAAATATTGAACAAAATTTAGTGATGACATTCTGTTTACCCCTTGAAGGAATACAGACATGGATTTTTCTTCTAAAATACAAATTTTACTATATTTGTTTCAGGTGAGGAAACTGCCAAGAAGGTTAGTTCGATGAATTATTACGCACATCGTTTGATGATTCGTGAAAATTCTGACAATTATTTGTTGTGATTTCGTCGACTGCTTCAACAATATGGCGTTGACATGTACGATAAAATCAAAACGGAGCGCCTGACTTTCATTCTGTTGAACCAAGCTAAATTACGTTCGGAATAGTATATCCATTTACGCGATGCAATTAGCACAGAAGGAGATGCAGAAAATGTTGGTCGATTGACTATTTTACCGGCTACATACACAGGTAGCCCGCGTCATATGCATAAATATGCGCAAGATGCAATGACATATGTTCGTCATTATAGTCGGCCAGATCTATTCATTACATTTACATGTAATCCGAAATGGATGGATATTATTCAACTGCTGCTTACCGGACAAACATCAAGTGATTGGCCCGACATCACCGCACGTGTTTTACGTACGTTTTTGTACACAGTTCATCCGAAGAATGATGAATGTTTCTATTTGCGGTTGTTGCTGGCACATGTTCGAGGGCCAACATCCTTTGAATCACTACGAACTGTTAATGGTATAATGTGCCCCACATTTCGTGCAGCATGTTAAGAGCTCAATTTGCTTGAAAACGATACTCATTGGGACACGACAATCGCTGAAGCAATACATTTCTGCATCTCCAAGTCAGATACGCACATTATTTGCTTTCATCATTTCGACATGCTTCCCATTCAACCCACGAGACCTGTGGAATAAATACAAAGATAACATGTCAGAAGACATTTTACATCGAATTCGTGTCAGCACAAGAAATCCCAATCTTGAGGCGAATGAGGAGATGCATAACCAGGCTTTGCTTCGATCAAGAAGATATGTGTTACCTCATGTGCGGCAGTTTGTTAGTCAGGCTAGGTATGCCAGCGCCAGATTGCGGAATGAATGACGCATTTAATAGAGAACTGGAACGTGAACGTGAATATGATCCACATGAATTAGTCCAATCATTTGAGTGGGCGAAAGTAGGAGTCAATAAGAATAGACAAAGTTTATGTGAACTTTACAATGAAATGTCATATAATTCTAGCGTCGAATTTGGGGAATTTATAACAAAACATTCAAAAATATTTAAAAGAATTTGCTCCATAGTCAAGTTTTCGTATTTGATCAACAAAATAAAGACGGCTTCTAATAAAATTAAAATGATTTGTACAAAGAATTTCACATTTTATAAAGTATTATCAAAAGATATTGCAAAATATTTTAAGACTATTGTTATTAAGAAAACCGCAGATCTGTGGTGGATTTCCGTTAAAATTATTGCGTCTATAATAGATTCAATCGCACCTCAACTGTCTATTATATTTAATACTAGTATTAAATCTATTATGACCTTCTCTGCAAAGGAATGTGTAAAAAATCAACCTGTGCAATAAAAACATCGGAGATACACGATAAATAATTATCTATTTTATTATATTTGTTGCAAATACTTTTATAACACGGACTAGCTGCATGCTAAAATGTACATTAAAAAGTAATATAATCGACTAATAACATTAATCGCCGCCATCTTCGCCAAACATCATGTTGTGGTGTTGAAAATAATTAGGTATACCCAAGTACCGATTTTTATGATCTGTTGCATGTTCTTTTCAATCTGAATCACATTTTGAATTTATTTCAAATAAAGTGCAGATAGAAACAACAATAAAATAGTAAATCACCACTCCTTTATTATTCTTTCCTAAAAGTATTATTTAAAAAACCAAACGAATATCATACTCGATTTTAAA